GCTCAGTAAGCATATGAAATAGGGAAGTACAACTCCATGGCCTGTACTGTGTTCACAGACTGCTCCAGCGGGTGACCTGTGGTAGTGTGCAGGAGTCCAGAGCTACAGAACTGAGCCCATGCCATCATGTGTTTTGATTGGGGCGTGCTGTCCTACACTACTCTGTGGGCTAGACTATGGAAGGAGCAGAGAAATAGCCTAGATAGTGTCGAAGAGGAAGGGCAGATTGAAAATGTACATGGGGACAGCAGGGGAAAGGGATAGCATTGTAATACTGAAAGATCTCCCGGGCTCAGCTTGGACTTGGAGAGTGTCGTGATAGAAGAGGGAAGTGTATGCTGAGCCTCATTACTGGATAGTGCAGTTTGGTGTGGAGGTGTCTTTGAAGATGACTGAAGATGCTGTTGAACAAGAGTAGAGTCCAAGAATGTTGAGTAGTGTTTGTTCTCTTCCCATATCTGAGAGTGCAGAGTGTTCTGGCTGTTGAGTGTTTCTGTCTTTCTTGTTTGAGCATTAGTGCACCTTACCTCTCCAATCAGCCCCAAATTCTGTATGAGGAAGCCTTTCTCCTTCCCATGCCATGCACGGAAGATTCCTCTTCTTTCTTTAGCCCCTAGTGGTGCCTTTCTATTGTGCCCTTTTCCCTACACTTTAATTTGGGTTACAAACAAACCCACAGGGGATTGCTGCCTACCACTTCAGTGAGGCTGGAGAAGGTGTCCCATTTTCTGAGGTGGGAGAACACAGAGAGACACCCCCTCGCATCCCTCATCTTGTGCATATGTATTGCTCTCTCTCCGTCTCTCCTTACATCACTGTGTAGGATATCTATGTTCTGACCTCAGTGTTGGAGGGGATGGGRGTCTCCAGCCCTGCCCTTTCCCCTGGTTGTAGTCATGTGCTTTAATTGGTGACTTCTCTCTGCTCCTTTTTGCGTGWCTGTGCACTTGTGCTGCTGCTTATACCTGCCTCAGGGGAGCGTTATTGGCAGGGGGGCCCTTGCTGGCACACTAATGTGTGAATAGTTTCTGTGCTTTTCTTCTCATCTCCTCTCTTCCCTTCTCTTTCCCTCTCTCAATGATGTGTCCAGAAAAGGAAGTCGAGCTCCAGTGTGCATTTGATGGTGAGCACCTCCCGTAAGCTGCCTGCGATTCGTGCCTCCGCCATTTCCATGCCATGCACGCTCGGCTTGTGCTCATCACCCTACATAGCATGTCCGTGCAGGGGGGTGGCAGGGGGGATTGGTGTGCACTCAAGGGTCCATGTCCTCACCAAAAKGGCTCTGGGATCCTCTGGGCCACATACAGCTCCCATTTTATGCAGAAAATCCAACTGTTGGCAACTCAGTTTGACTTTGCCTGCTCTGAGTGTGAAACAAAAAAAGGCAGTGGTTCTCCGGGCTCAGCAGAGCAGGTGTGTGCCTTGCCTGGACATGAAGCTTTGTCATTCTGTTGCAGAGGTGCCAAAAAGAGGAACAGGTGCCTTGCCTGGTGTTGGTGCTGTCATCCTTGATAGGAGCCTTGCAGTGTAGAACAAATTGGGAGTCACTCCAAATGTGGCAGAGACTGATGGRGCTCCACTGTTCAGATGAAATGTGTGGGCACAGCACCACTGGGCAGCTCAGAGCTGCCGGTCACTTCTTTTTTTTAGCATATTTACTGAAAAGGTTTGTCAGAGCCTTTATAATCCAAAACTTCCTTTTGTCCTGATCTTGTTTATGTATCCCAGCATGACCAAATACCCAGTAACTGCCTCCCCTGTCCAGTTCATTTCCTTTTTCATCCATCRAAGTGTTTGACATCTATAGAATTTGTCAAAAAAAGTAGTCAAATCCACTCTCAAGGGAGCAAAGAGGAAATTGGCCAGTGTCATATTGTCAGGAGTCATACACAGCCCAATGACACGCTTTAACACCAAGATATGAATGGTARCTATAGTACAAAAATCAGTTATTGTATCCTCTCCTTTGCACAGAAAAATAACAGAATTTTTTTCTCCTGTTTCAGATAGAAATAGGAATGTTACAGTACCCAGAAAGCAGAATAATTGTTTTTGCACTATTACATGGAAGATACTTCTGTTCCTCCTTCAATGACATCTTAAAACTATGTAAAAAACCACCCAAAAAAAGTAATCCCAAAGTACTGCTTTGAAAATCTGATTGAGTGACTAACTTTTCACCAGCCTGCCTTTATGCGAGGCAGAAGTTCACTGTGCCTTTCTTGTCCTTCTTTTTCTCCTACTGCCAACAATACTTAAATTCCCTTTGCATTTTTAAATGTGTTTTTAAAGCAGCTGGGATATGTAAACCATGTAAGCATCAGCCTCTGAAAACATGGAAGCAGTGAAAGTGGTTAAATAACCAGACAGCCCATGTGTTTGGTACTTTGTTGAGTTGCCTTACATGCGTGTCCCTAAGATATGAGCACTGGTCTGTTTTCTTTCTCTTGCACCCTCTGTGTTGTTGTGCCTGTCTGTCTGTCTCTGTTGAGCTCAGGAAATGTTGCCAATTGCTGTGCCAAAACTGATCGTGTTACAGATCTTAAGAAGGGCCTGGCACCTTTTTAGGTGAACTGGCCTCTTTTGAGTTGTACAGAATTGCCAAGGGTGGTACCCTGGCCAGGGACTGATGTTGGCTGGCAGCAGTGGGGAAGGAGGGGTAAAAGCTGGCTGTGCTGCCTGCGCCTCTGAGAAGGGAAGGCCAGTTATTCCCAGGGAAGGGCAATTGGTTAGATGGCCACAGACATGAGGGTTTGCAGGAAGCTCGATATGTCAGATACCTCCTTTCACCTGAGAAAGCGCTGTGAAAAAATGCATAGACTAAGCTGCCTCTAATCTCATTGGGACTCTATGCTGTAGTRAAATGCTATACAATTCTGGACTAGCAAATATGGTACTTGGTCTTCTTCAGCCCACTGCTGGGGAAGAATATGATGAATGAACTGGGTGTTCAGTGCAGCTTGGASGGTAGGCTGTGTGCTTTGGGTATTGTGGTTGTGCACTTTATAAGGCAACATAACACACCTAACAAGCTGTGGTCAATGTCTTTTTCAGAATGGTGGTTTTCTGGATTTTTGTTTAGGTTTTGTTTAGGTTTCCTTTTTTTTTTTCCTCCTTATTTGGCCTTAGTTATAAAGCCTTCCAAAACATTGTAATTATTTTTGTACAGCTTCTTTCATGCTAATTTTATCTTCTTATCCCAACAGACTAAGAAAAATGTGTTGCTTTCCTCTCACTRGAAGAGGTTTAGAAGATAGATTTTTGTGTTAGGATCACTGTTACTGAAAAAGTACAGGAACCTCAGTGCTGTGGAGAAATGGACCAAGGCATGGTCAGAAGTTTGATTGTGTTTATAACACAAAATAGCATGGGATTGATTTTTTTCAGGTTGATATATTCCTCTTTGACATCCACAGTGACCTATCATCTCTTTGGCCATCAGGCTGGAAATATATACATAAAACAAAACTCTTGGAAGGCCAGAGCCTTAGGACAATGCAGGGATGTATAGGAAGAGGCAGCAAATAGTAATTTCTGTAGTATTTCTCCTTTCTTAGCTTGGAGTTTGAGTGTGTTATACGCTCTTTTTTTCCCCATGGACTTCTAAAGAATTCATTCCAGCCCCTCTCTCTTCTTGCTCTCTTCTTCCTCCCCTCTCCACCTGCCCCACCTTCCTCTTTTGTTTCTCCTCTCTCCCTCTCCAAAAGGGATAGTTAAGCCAAGACATGTTGCTTGCGAAGAAAAACTGAATTATTAGTAGGTGTGTGTTAAGTGYAGGTCTTACAAGATCTGTCACTGGTTGACATAATTATACCTTTGGCAGATGTTTTCCAGCTCAGCATTTGACTTCTGCATTCTTTGTGGTGTTTGTGGTGTGGTGATGAGGGCCTGATGTTTTGCAGTCTAAGTTTGCACTCCCTGAACACAGTGGGACAGAGAGCCACTGCAATGAGGGAACAMTACTGTGAGCTCCCATCTGGTGCCCTGATCTGTAAAATAAGGAGCTTGAGTGAGGCTCCTGCAGTGCCAATTTTGACCTTGTTGCTGGTGTCTGGCAGGAAGAGAGACATAGCCTGGTGTGGGTGTCACATGTGGGCTGGATTTCATGGGCTAGGAGCTATATACTAATGGCCACAGGTTKGGCTTCCTACAAACATAGACTTGGCTCATTCCTGTTGTACATGACTCAGTGGGATGGTTCTTTTCAGCAAGCTGGTGATGGCCTCACTGTTGTGCTGTGTAAATGCAGGAAATGGAGATTTTATTCTTCTACCACAGCTACAAGAGAGAACTGAAGAGGGGAAAGATGAAAAGCTGCTGGGCACCATCCAGAGAACTTCCTACTTGTGGAACTACATGGCCTTTTCCTTATGTCCCAATCCCTTTCCTTTCCATATTTTGGTCCTGAAGTCTCTTTGTTCAGGTCACAGCAGGGAAACAACTCATGACACATCACCTTTTCTCTACGTTTTCTAGGACTGACCAYACTTTTACTTGGATCAGTAGATTCCCTGGAGCCCTCAGCATTATCACATACCTAGAACTGTTTCTGTACACTTTGGGACTCCTCAGCCTTGACTTCCATTTGTGCCCTGTTTGAGACCGTGGCTATTGTGTGTCTCTCACTTCTATAGTCTCTTTCTCTTGGGACAGCTGCCATCTCTCATTTTCCTTCACCAGATATTTTCGTTAGTGCTCATTGCAGGATTCTCCCCAGTCCTTTGGGCTGCTGCCTTCTTCCCTTCTGTTTTCCTTCCTTATAGCTCTAGCAGTCCATTGACATTTGGATTTTGGTACATCCCTTACAACTTCTATTGCCTCTGGGGGAAGGATAATGTCCAGCAACCTGGGCAGCACTCCTCCTTCCTCTTTCTTCTTGGTGATTGAGCCTGTGGGGAGGGTTGGGTCTGAGGAGATGGTTGGGGTTGAAGCAATACTGTCATTTTCTTGCTGCCTCTGCTGCCCAGCAGGGGAACTAAAACCATGTTTTTCTGTCTCAGCCACAGAGCAACAACAAAACCAGTGTAGTAAGCACTGCAAAAGAAACATCCCCAGTGCAGACGTCCATGGTATCTTCCCCAACCACTATTTTTTTTCCTGTTTGGTTTAATTTTGATTCTGTCCTCTCCCCTTCTCCCCCCAGCCCCCTTCCCGAGTGCTGCTTGTGCCGCTCTGTTTCAGCTTATGTTTTGGCTTCATTCTGTCTGTGTCCCTGTGCTGCTGTGGGGCCTGATCACAGCCTCACAGGCTTTGGGATGGGGTTGCTGAGCAGAGCTGTGGTTGGATGTGGGGATCGCAGCTTGCCTGGACTTCCCCGTGTGCCACCCCTGTATAGTTGTGTGTGTCCCATTCAACTGTTCCTGCTGGCTTTGGGGGGGATGGTTTGGAAGAAGAGTGTCAAGCTCCATCCGCTGTCTGACATTCAGGAAATGGAGGATGGACTTCAGGCCACCACAGAAGAAAGAGGCAGACTAAGGGTTTTTAGAGGGATCCTTTGATGGCCTATTTGGCCTACTCAGTTGAGTGGCTGATCTTCTGCCGCTCACTGACTTGCTGGGCTGGCATTTTCTGTTTGGGCTGAGTGCAGGCTCTGCAGTGCCCAGTGCCAAGGACACTGATGGGCACAGCTCGGGTGTGTGGCCTGCCTCAGTACCCACGGAAGATCAGGCAGCAATGCAGCGGGTGGCAGAGTCAGATGGATGAGTGTACAGCACTGCCCAGCACTGTCTCTGATGCCTTTGCTGAGCCACCCAGCAAGAATGACAGCAGTGGGGGGAGATGGTGCAGGATCCTCAAGTCTTGTCCTGGTAATGAAGGGATGAGTGCAGGAGCTAGATAGCACCCATAGGCCTGGTAGCTGCTCTTCGTTGTCTGTCTCTGGAGAGTTGGATTTGGCATTTTTAGGGAGTGGGAAGGCGGCATTTGGTTTGGGGTTTTTTTGTTGTAGGATGAAGGATTCTTGGGACACTTCATAATTTCCCACTTTTCTTTCACTGGCTTTGTTCATGATGTTTTTGGTATTGAGAGAGCCTTTCTAAATTATTAAATATGGTTATTATTGAAATTGGAGCTCATTCAGAGATTTTAAGAAAAATGTACCTTTTTTCACAGTTCCTTAGCAACTSCTCTCTGAGAGACATTGGGGTGATCTGGCTCATCCTTTTTCTATTATGGAAATTATGAATGTCCCTTTTTAGGGTAAAATACCCAGCAACCTTTCCACAAAACTGGGAGACAAAGGCCCCAGCCCAGTATTATCCTTTCTTCTCCCTCTCCCTCATCTGAAGTATCTTCCAGTGAAGACACTGCTGAGGGGTCATTACTTCATGTAAGGCTACAAAGGGTGCAGACTGGCTGCTTGGTTGCCCTCTGGTGTGTGTGCCACCAGAAGTCCACTGGAAGCGAATTGCGAAGTAGGGGCAATTACAGGGAAGCTGGGGGCTTTGTCTCCTTGTGGCTGTAGCTTTTAGTGCAGCCTCTCTCTCAATGAAACCTGTGCAGGAAGTGTGTGCGCACGCACGCAGGCACACATGTGCTGTTTGGAGTTTGTGGTTTGATTTTTATTTTTTTTTAACGTCAGTCACCTTTTCTCCACTTGCTGGGGAGTGAAAATAAGAGAGAATGCTTTGGAACTGGAGTTTAATGATTCTTCCATCCTTTCCTAGGAGCCTCAAACAACTGTTGTCCATAATGCTACAGATGGCATAAAGGTAAGGGATGGGAGTGTTGCTACAGAAACCTCTGCTTCTCTCTTGTTCTTGTCTTCGTGTGTCTGAATTCAGTTTCTACTTCTCCAATGTCTAGTTTGTAGCATGCTCCTGAATACTGTTGACAGTAGACTAGGAGGGTTGTGTTCTATGGCTGTGGATCTCTGGAAGAGTCTGAGTAAAGACAACTGTTCAGCTGCTAGCATTTCTTTCCTATTGTGGTGTATGACCACCACTCTCTAATGTGTGTGGGATGGACAAGAAGAGATAGGCGCTTATGCCCTTTTTTTTTTTTTTCCTGCAAATGGATTTATATTCCCTCTGAGAAAGCCTAGGAGTCTTTCTTTAGCTTCTTGTGACTATTCTTCCAAACAGAAGCAACTCTTACTGGATTTCATTTGACAGAGTTTGGTAATTTCCATCCTTGTAAAAGTTCTGGGTTAACGGCTTGAACATGCAAAAGCTGAGCAGAGATGCTGTTACCTTTTGCTTTGTATTTGGCGTGCTTTCATCCAAGTCTTCCTTGTATCATCCTCTCCCTGCCATCCCTGCCAACATTTTTGTGCTTTTCCCCATCTTTCTTCACAAACAAATCAAACTATTTGCTCATGCTCCCAACTGCTGATGCCTGGTAATGCTCTGTTCTGCTGTGCAGGGTTCTACAGAGAGCTGTAATACCACGACTGAAGATGAGGATCTGAAAGGTAGGTGTTTTGCCTGTAATGTCTAATACAATTAAGTAGGCAAGGGATTTGAGAGATTCGATCATTGCCTTGAACTAGCTTCCCAGATTTCTGTGTCTGAYTCAGCTCATAAATTCGCCATGACGTTGTCATTCCTGTCGCAGTGGGACTGAGTGTTGGGAAACCGGCTGACTTGGACTTTGTGGTATATAAACACTGTTTGCCCTGAGCTAATTTGTTTTTGCCTCAGAGTTGGAATTCTTATCTTGCATGTATCATAATCTGTTCATCTCCAGTCCATTTCTAGGTGTGGAAAATGCCTACCAGTCCCTTGAGGTTTGGACTCTGGTTGTGTTTTTGTGCTTCCCTGTAGATTACAGGGAGTTGAAACCTCTCTGTTACTGCTCAGTCTCCCTTTTCACCCCTTTCTGGGAATTTCTTTTGTGACATGTAGAGACTTCCCTTGTTACTTTTTCTCTTTGGTTCTATTTTTGTTTCTAAAATGAAGATTATTCTCAGCCTGTTGTCCTTGACTGAGATGTCAGTAGAGGGAGAGGCTGAGAAGAGATTTCATGCTTTTCAGTGACCATATCACAAATATTCTGTGCTTGTAAAACTCTTTAAATGAAGGAGCTCCAAGTTCCATATCTGCTCATGTTGTTTGAGCAGCTGTCTTTTGCCTGACCTCCCTAACGAAGGATGAGCAGACATTTTCCTGAATGAGCAAGTTTGGGATGGGTGAATGTAGTTTGCATTGAGATAAATGTGTTAATAACATTTTGAGGCAGAGATATTCTCATTCTCCCTGTGGTTCTTCTGAGTTAAATATCCAAGGAAAAATCAGTGCTGACCCTGTGATGTAGCAGCAATGTCACCTCAGTCAGCTGKGTTAGTTCCTGATGCTTTTCCTGTGGTTTGTCACAAGCTGCTGGCTCCTCTTCACAGGAGTCACAGGGAGCAGAAACGCATGCCAGTGAGTGAATGAGCTCTGCAATAGAGATTGTTTCAGATAAGGCCTGGCCTCATTACAGGACAGTATTCTAGCTCCTATCTTTTTGCCAAAGTGTAATCTGTGGTTTAAGAACCTAGCTTTGAGGGATGGGCACTGGATGGATTTTGTAGTGCAGTAATGAATTYGATTTACCTAATCTCTGCTGGATAGCCATCCAAAACAGGTATTTGTCCAGAGACTTGTCTCCTATGGCAGTTTTTATTCTGGARAGGTCCTGTGCTTGAGCCAGCTGATCCAATGGGTGTTGTAAATCAGGAATACAAATGCTGCAAGGAAAAGAAGGCTAGGATTGGAACAGAAAGTGGGGAGGAAGGAAGGCATCTGGTCAGTATACAGAGCTGTATAGAGCTACATTGCTACAGATCAAATCTGTGTTTTGTGTTTTTTGGCAGAGTTTAGAAAATTGTGTTATTTTAATAGAAGGGAGCTTTTGAATGGTGATTGGAAGGGTAAGAGTTTGCACAGTAGTGGTTTGTGCTCTGGCCAGCTCTGATAAAATTAGTGCTTCAGTTTTAAGTGTAGCAGTGTTCACCAGTGTTCCTTTTCCATTTCTGCCCTTTCACATTTTAAGATAAGCAAGCATTGAGCAAAACTAAGTAGACCAAAAGGTTTGGGAGTGTTGGAGTTCTCAGTGTTCTGCATAGCCATGACTCTGGGAAAAGGTGGTACTTGTTCAGTTCTCTGCCGACTTCTTATGTTAAATAGACACCAGGTTACACAGATCAGTCCTGCTGTGCTGTAGGAGACATTTTCTATCCATTAGTGACAGGTGCCTCAGGGATATGTTGTTTCTACTGTGGTGGGGCTAAAGGCAGTGTGTGTGTGTTGTTCTTCCCCCTCCCCTCTGCCCTCGTGTCATTCTAAATCGCACAGCAGGTTCATGTTGTAGAGCTGTCTACTTGGCTTTGCCCTGGAGGATACTCCTGCATGTTTTGTGCCCAGCATTGTGGTTTCTTTAATGTTCTCCTATTTCCTTTCTCTTTTTTTATTTACTGAACTTGCGTGTTTTGTTTGTGTTTGTGTTTTAATTCCCTGCCATGCTAGCTCCCCCTCTCTCCACCGGGGACGGCAGCTCAGTGCTTGAAGGACGGAGGCACAGTGAGAGCAAAACACAGACTGAGTCCATGCAGTCCCAGCTTTCTCTCTGTTTCTCAGCCAGTAAGTCCAGGGGTGCAGTGCTTCACAGCATCTTTTTCCCACCCCTTCCTCCACCCTTCCCATTTCTCCTTACCTAAGATTTTTCCTTTCCTCAACTTCCTTCCAAAGTGTTGGTTTCTCATTTCCAGTACTCCAGAATAAAAAGAAATCATCTTCCTTCCTGCAAAATACCCTCCTTTGCACACTGGAATTTTCCAAACATATCCTTCCCTTTCTGGAACAAAAACCCCACAACCTCATCCTAGCTAATTTCATTCCCTTGCTTCCATCTGGGTGAGATGTAGAGTTCTCTGCAGAGACACTGCCTTTCGGGGTTTCCTCAGGCAAGTCACTGCACCTTAGTTTTCCTTGTGGTAAATGAGTCAGTGATGCAGGTCTGCTTATGGAGGGGATGCACGAGGCTGAATTCAGTCTCACTTGTCAGAACATCTGAGGAACTCAGACATGGATGATGCTCAGAAGTACCAAAGAACAAAAACTAGTTTTTTCAGACTACTCTAAGGTGCTTTGAAAGGAGGGTATGGTTGCTGAAAGACCCCATAGCATTTTTGAATCCATTGTCAGGTACTCTGAGTGAAACCTTTGGATAATGTTGGTTCTGTAGAGCATTTGTCTGTCGTGAGCTTTACCTTGTGTGTCTGTCTTRCTAGCTCAGCTGGTACTGTGGTTAGTCTATGAGTTGTGCTAAGTTCTGCTTGATATCTCCTGAATTGGCTACCTCTGAAGAGGAGTCTGTGGCTGAAAACCTCTGAAAATGCATATGAAAAAACATAGTAGGCTRGAGAAAACCTAGGTGGAATTCACAGCCTTTCCCCTACACAGACATACTGTACTAGCTGCTTGACTGTTTAGAGCAATAGTAGAAGGATCCTTGTTGTCAGCTGGGAACAGCTGAAGTGTTTGATTCCGTTCAGGTCAATCTAGGAAGGAAGGAACAGGCATGCCCTCTTCTGTCTCTTCCTGTCATGTTTCTCTGGTTTCCTACACACAGCACCACAATCTCACACAATACAGCAGTTGAAGCATCTGTCTTACTTATTTTAGAAGTAGCTCTAAGGATGTCAGACTGCTGGTTTGTAAYGTGCAATTGAAAAGGTATTTTGCCTAGCCAGAATGGAAGGGAAATGATCTCTTCTGAAGTCCTTTTTGCTGTGAGCTGTCTATCACTCCTCTCTTAATAATTCCTTCCTCTTGCTYATAGCAAGGCCCTGCTTGGTACACTGAGGAGTGCCGCATCACTTCTCTGCCAAGTGGGTCAGTGTTCTCCCACCTCATTTCCCTCCAAGTTGAGATTTGCAGTGATTTGGATGTCCCTACATTCTTTAATCCCATCTTGTACTTGCCCTTGTGCTGCTCTGTCACTACTCCGACCACTGTTTTAGGTCGCCCTCAAACTTCCTCCAGCATTAGTGTAATTCCTGCTGTGCTTTTTGCACCAGTGCCCGAGTGGCCCCTGCCAAGCAATGTCTGGCCAAAGTGATGTGACAGAGGCAGGAGAGCAGGTAGAAGTTRTTGAGATGTGGATGTATCTGTGTGCCGTCCGGGGCTGGGGCTGTGTGTGTCTGTACTTCTTTGTTGATTTTTATTTTGCTTTCTAATTTTTGTTTATCATTTTAACGCTTACATTTGTTTTGCAGCTACACAGTCTTGTGAAGAGAAGCTCCATGCCTGGGACAGCCCAGGGCAGACATTGGAGTTAGAGCGTGCTCGGTCGGAGCCTTTGCTAACTCCAGTAGTTCCCTTTGTACTTAACCGAGCACCGTGTAAGTTAGCAGCTGGGTAGCTGTAGTGGAGTAGTGCAACTCCTGCTAGTTACCTTAGATCTGGAGCTCCCTCCTTTCTCCTCCCCTGCCCCTCACCACGTCCGTGCGAGCAGGGCCGGGGCTGAGCGCTCCGAGCGGGTGCCATCGCTCCCGGCGGA